AGGCACGGGAGGTTTTTGAATAAGTGAATGACTCGATTAAAGTAGTGTTCAAAACATATTTGTGCAGCAACAGGAATTCTGATTCACTGCTGATGGAATACAAAGCAATACAGCCACTTTGAAGGACAGCTGGGCAGTTTCTTACCAAACTAAACACACTCTTGCGGCACAGTCTAGCACTTGGGCTCTTTGGTATTGCAACTCACTGGTATTGTCAGCTCATTTGTTACCTTAATGAGTTGAAAACTTATGTCCATACAAAAACTTGCAAATGAATTTGTAATTGCCAAAATTTGGAAGCAACTAAATGTTCCACAGATGAATGAATCAACAAACATTCATGCAGTGAATTTTTATGCAGCAATAAAAAGAAATGAGCTATCAAGCCAGGAAAAGACACGAAGGGATTTTAAAATCATATTTTTAAGGGAAAGAAGCCATTCTGAAAAATCTACCTACCGTATGATTCCAACGACATTACATTCTAGGAAAGGCAAGACTATGGGGACAGAAATAAGATCAATAGTTCTGGGGTTCATGGGGAGAAGGGGATGAATAGGCAGGGCACGGAAAATTTTTCAGGCAGGAAATGGTTCTCTGTGATAACGTCGAGGTGACTACATGTCATTATACATTTGCCAAAATCCACAGAATATGACACAGAGAGTGAGTCCTGATGTAAACTGTGGGCTTTCTACATCTCCCCTGGGCACAGGGAGGCAGCAGAGCATGGACGGTGTCATTGTGCTGCCAGCCCTGTCACCACTGTGCTCTGGTGGTCTGCCTGTGGAGACTCCACAGGACAAGAAAAACGCCAAGAACCATCACAGGAGACAACAGGTCAGCTGTTTGATGTGTCTGGCTTTTTTAATTCTCTCTCTCTCTTTTCCTCTTCAGCATCTCTCCAAGTGTGGTCTCTGCACCAGCAGCTTCAGCATCACCTGGGGACTTGTTAGAAATGAACATTCTCAGGCCCCAGCCCAGACCCACTGAATCAGCAGCTCTGGGGGTGGGGCTCAGAAGCCTATGTTTCAACAAGCAAATTCTTTTTCCTTTCTGTTCAAGAGAGGCTTCGTGTGTGATGCCTTCCATTTAGCAGAGCAATCCATTGCACGTGAAGGAAGTCTCCAGCTTCTTGAAAATTTCCCAAGTGCTATATCAATTCCCATCTGTCCCCATGTGTTTATTGATTTGGAGAACAAAATAAAGGATACATGAATGACAATTGAGCTAGCAAATCATAGTATCTCAAATAAGCTGCTGGTTCTTTGGTATTAAAATACAGCAGAGGGCATCTCTGACATCTAGTCATTGATCTGAGAGCAATTTCAGTCCATTGTACAAACCTGGCTCCCTTTGGTTAAACAGGAGGCAATTCTATCCTCCAGATCATTACAGACCCTCCTCCTGACAGCCTTTACCCTGTGGGGTGGGAAAGATAATCATCAGGCTGAAATTTTTAAAGAAAAGAAATATCAGATTCACAAACTGTTTTCATGTGCAAAATAAAATTGGTTTCCTTTAATAATCAAAGGCATTATTTTGGTAGGTCAGAGCCTAGTGGTGCATGACAGAGTTTAAAATGTGGCTCCGCACTTAAATTACATAAAACAAAGCAGAGGTTCAAAGGATCAAAGCAAAGGGGCAATGTAAATGTATTTCAGCGCTGAACTTTTACCTTGGTATTGCAGTCCAGCTTCGTCTTATGTAATGAGAGACTGTGAGTCCTCTGAACTGAATTGGAGCCCTCGGGGATCATTAAGGCCATCCTTTGCAGATAGAAATCTGTGCCCACATCCTGGGCATGGAGGGCTGGCTCTTTCCTTTGAAACCAAGGAGACTTGTTGGCTCCACTCACTCCACACCCTTGTAATCATTTGTCCTGTCTCTGGGCACCCTCAGGACTTTCACCCCAATGTGCCCTCCTCCACCTGGGGGTTGATTCCCATTCATCCTCACGTCACTCCCGGAGGAACACTGTGACCACCAGACTAACTTCTCTCCTTTTGCTTGGCTTCCCCGTGGCACCCTGTCTTCTTTTCCTGATATAGAGCATGTCGCAGTGTCTATAATTTACTTCAAAATCCATCAGCAGTGACAATGTGAAATTATTTGTGCCAGTGAGTTGAAAGGTTGCCACTTACGCAGGTGTGATCATCTAATACATTAAAAACAAATAGTCTGATGAAAAATGGGCAAAGGAGCTGAGTAGACATTTTTTCTAAGACATCTAAATGGCCAACAGGTACATGAAAAGTATTCAACATCACTAGTCATCAGGGAACGACAAGTCAAAACTATAGTGAGATGTCACCTCGCACCTGTCAGAATGGTTGTCATCAAAAAGGAGAGACAACAGGTGTTTGTCAGGATGTGGGAATGGGAACCCTCATGCACGGTTAGTTGGAATGCAAATTGGTGCAACCACTATGGAGAACAGTATGAAGATTCATCAGAAAACTAAAAATAGAACTACTATATGACCCAGCAATCTCACGTCTGGGTAATTACCTAAAGGAAATGAAGTCAGTATCTCAGAAAGGTATCTGTTCATTAAAGTGTTATTCACAATAGCTCAGATATGGAAACAACCCAGGTGTCCACTGATGGATGAATGAATGAAGGTATGTAATATATATAGATATCTAAATGTCATATATATGGTATATATATATCATACATCTTCATATATATTGTATATATACATCATACATCTTCATATGTATGATACATATACATCATACATCTTCAAATATATAATGGAATATTGTTTAGCCATAAAAAAGAAATCCTGCCATTTGAGTCAACATGAATGAAACCAGAGGTCATTATGAGTAAGTTCTGAGGGTCTAATGTACAGCATGGTGAACATAGTTAATATTAATGTACTGTATACTTGAAATTTGCTAGGAAAGTAGTTCTTACATGTTCTCTCCATATACATGTGGTGAGGGACCAGCCCATTCCCTATCTGTACACTCTCTACCAGTCTGGATGGATGTGATTTCTTTAATTCCATAGTTGTCAGATTTCTACTCAACTCAATTTCTGATAGCTCTGAGTGATGGCTGTTCTATATTTTAGTTGTAATTTGATGTGGTTGTGTGAAGAGGTGAGCCATGTCTGCCTATACCGCCATCTTGACCAATGTCAAGTCCAATGTTTTTTCTGAAGTAAACTTTTCAGGCAAGGGGGCACTTACTTGGACACCTAAACAACTTTTGTCAAGTTTTCAAATTAGTTATCTAAACTATTTTGGGTCTGCATGCGAATAAAAATTTATTTAATAAATGTCTCTGTGTGTGGTAAAATGCTTATCTAAGGCTTGCTTTTATCATAAGCTGGTGCACAGGTGGAGGACGTAAGCAACTATCAATCACTTTGAATTTCTTCAAGGCTGCTGCAGCCTCACAAAAAGAACCCAATGGCTGGGCAAGACCTGACTGTGACGACTTGCCTTAAGTCTTGTTGCTCCTGGTCAATTGCAGGTCTAAGAGTGCAGAGACCACTTACTATGCAAATTGTAGGAGCCAAGTACACTTTGGAGTGGATGGCCAGATTGTCCAGGCTTGCCAGGACGGCCAGGAGAAGACAGCCCAGGAGCAGGCTGGGGAAAACATACACACACTTGTAAAGAGTATGAGAAGACACTGGCCAAGAAAAGATTGTGTTTGACATAATTGCAGTTGAAAAGAATGTTGGCAAGTGGCAAAACAGCAAGAATTTTCATATGCTGGCATGTCTTTTAATTAAAATAATTTTTCTTTTGAATTTGAGTTTTGGTCCTTCATGTCTGTAATTTAAAATTCTCTGCTTTCATGATGATGGAAGATTATGTACAAATATGGAGAGAGAAACAAGTTACTTTCAGCAGTTTTAAATTATTGAATTCATTACTAAGTTATCCCGCACCTCTGTTTCTGTCATTTTCATATACTTTTATGTCAGCAGAGCACAATATACAGCATGTGTAAAAAATAAAAACGGGAAAAAAACACCTCCGAGTACAGATGTGTGATGATTATCCGTTAGACTGGACCAGGAAACACCCGGTATTTCTTCCTTTGGGTGAGTGTTGTCTTTCATCAGGGAAGAACTGGAACCTCTCATTAGAGCCAAAAGCTCTTCAGACGGACTGCTGGTCACTCCAGGACGAGGACGTGTCCTGCCCGAGGCTTGATGCTTTTCCTAGCCCGGAGTTGAAGGCTAATCACCGCTGCATGGATTCTGTTCCCAAGTCCCTCTGTGCAGGGGCCGCTGGGCCCTGAAATGTGGTTAGTCCGATCTGAGATGCCCTCTAAGGACAAATACACTCTCAGTTTCAAAGACCTAATATTCAAAAACGTAAAATATCTCAGTCATGTTTACATTGATTACATGTTAAAATAATATTTTGGAAATAACTAGACTTTCGGTGATAAGTACACAATGCAGTATAGGGATGTATTATACAATTATACACTTGAGTCATATATAATGTTATTAACCAATGTCACCACAATAAATTTAATTTTAAAAAGTTCACCCATTTCTTTTGACTTTTTAGTGCAGATTACTAGGAAATTCTAAATCACATATGAGGTTTATATTATATTTCTATTGGATAGCACCACTCTAAAAAAAGGCTGTATTTGAGAAGGAGCTGAGAAAGAGAGGCGGGGCACTCTCTGCTGGTGCTGGGGCCAGGCGTCCTGGGTCCTGCTCAGTCACGCCCTCCAGACCCATCTCACTCAGACCAGGTCTAAAGTCCCTCCCTTCTGCCTCTGCCCCAGTGTTTCAGGGCTCCGCTCTGTGCCAGGGGGCAGCCAGCTAACCTGATAAATGAATCTGTGCGAACAAGTGGTAGGTGCTGTTGGATTAATGTGTTCTTCTTGTCTATGTCCCAGTCCTGCAATTCCACACGGTCCTTCTGGGTGATGATTCTCATTCACTCAGTAAGTACCTACTGAGTACTGACCACGGGCCAAGCACACTGTTAGTCCCAGGCCAGAGACACTCACTGTCTTGTGAGAGAGAGAGAGAGAGAGAGAGAGAGAGAGAGAGAGAGAGAGGGAGAGAGAGTTTCCACACAGTGAGCAAGATTCTGGAGTAGCAGAGTCAATGTGTGTAGGTATGCAAATAAATGGGTTTAGAACCAGGGAACATAATATGACTCGATGCTCAGCAAGGCCCAGGGGTCATCACAGAAGAGCCAGAGTTTGAGAAGCATTTTGGACAGTGGTCTGTTCAGGGGAGAAGTGAGAACAGAACCTTCTGTAGGAGGGAACAGTAGATACAGAAGCACAGAGCCTGGACTATCTGGACTCACTGGTGGGTGGGAATTTGAAGCCCCTCGAAGCAAGGTAGGACATTTGGCATTCCCCGCCTGTGTATGGGCTTGTCAGAAGGAATTCTTCCAGCTCTGGCTTCTAGGGACTAAAAAGGGAAAGAATAACATCATTAATAACTGATGAAAGGGTTATTTCTGCCCAAGTGTTAGAACAGGAAGGGAACCACTGTTGAACAAAGGTTTCAAGGACTGCTTAACTTTCATGTAATTCAAGAAACTGCAGGACAGTGATGATTAATTTCATGTGAGGTCCTTGAAGCTCCTAAATGAGAATAATCCTTCATTTCTTTTATTTCTGATTAAAAGGGGAAAAGGTGGGAGAAGAAGAACCTTATTAGTCACATTAGACAAATAGTATTTGTTTAAGCAGCAGTTTCTTGGCCCATATGGAATCAGCAGTGGTCCAGAGGGGAGACCTATGGCTGTATCTGGGGCCCCTCCTGCCTTTGCCTGGAAGTCAGGAACGGTTTACAGCCGCTGTACATGGGTGGGTGGTGGGTGGTCAGGCACAGGGTGGTGGGAGTCCTGAGATTGCCCCTCTGCAGAATTTCCTGGCAGCCCTCACCAGGTGCTGGCCACAGTCCTCTCTTCGGCTGGGTGCTTCTCAGTTGGTAGGACTGGTGTTCCTTGGGGGGCTCCAGGCCTGGGTCTGATCCGGTCATGGTCCCTGCCTTTCCTAAAAATAAACAAAATCTTAAAAAAGAGTATAGTTTCTACCTTCTAACTTTCATTGGGAAAATTTCAATCTTACAGGAAAGTTGAAAAAAATTGCACAATGAATAACGATGAACACTTTCATCCTTGCTAACAATGTGTTAAGTTAACATCTCGTACACGCCCCCATGCTCCTCTCCTTGCCCCCATGCTCCTCTCCCTCTGGAGGGTGAGTGGAGGCAGTCTGGCTCCCTCACCCAGGGGTCTGGGTGACTAAGGGAAGCAGTGTTCCCATAACCTTGAATGGGTCTGATAAGCAGTGTTCTCATAGTCTTGGGACTGGTTCCGGTAAACGGTTCCCATAACATGAACTGGGCTTGTACACACAGAATCATACTATGTTATATAATTTTTTGGCTTTTTGCTGGCTTTGTTTGTCCCTAGTACTTAAGCAGACAGGTGCTTCTCATTAGAGAGATGTATAGCTTTCAGTGTGTGAGGCTCACACACCCGTGAGTACAGGCACACCGAGCAACCCCACGGCTCCGCGCACTTTCTTGTGTCTCTTCGAGTTTGGAGCTGACCCGCCAGGCCTTGACCAGCTGCAACACAGCACCCTCCCTCTCAACCATTTCTCCCTCCCCCTCCACTCTCCCATGTAAAAAGCAGAGCCACCACCACACTTTATTCTTAAATATTACAGCCTATGTCTCCTAAGAATAAGAATGTTCTCCTATATAGTCAAAATAACATGATCACACCCAAGCAATTAAATGTCAGTATAATCTAATATGGAATCCACATTCTAAGTTTCCAAATAGCCTAAATAATGTCCTTTAGAGCTACTTTATCAAAGTTTTCACACTGCATTTGGTTGAATGTTTTTTTAAGTCTTTTTAATGATGGAGCAATCTCTTTCCTTTTTCTATTGGTTTAGTTGTTGGTGGTTTGTTGTTTGTTTTGGTCTCTCATGACATCTGACGTCATGACATCTTTTGAAGAACCCAGGCCAGCATTCCTGTGACATGTCCAGGTCCTGGGTCTGTCTGACGAGCCCTGATTCTCGGGCCGGGTTAAACATTTTGGCACGAACACCACCTTAGTGACACATGTCCTTCCTGCTGCGTCTCATCAGGAGACACAGGAGGTCAGTTTGTGAGGAGTGGAGACTTTTATGAGTTGTGTGTTTGAAGTTGTCCAGATGGGGGATAACCCTGAATAGCTTTACCTGCACAGCCTAGATGTGGTGAATAAGGCACCACTTAGTGGTCTGCACTGGTCCAGTTATTTTTTTTTACTAATAAAGCATAGAAAATGAAAGGGCATGTTCTTTTGGGGATCCTTTTAGGGATGGAAAGGGGTTCAATTCTTTTTTTCTCTCTCTCTCGTCCCACCCCCCCATTCCCTTGGGTTACTGATTTGATGTGAATATTATGTTAATCGCCCTCTTGCTGCCTCACTAGCTCATATTAATGAAATATTCCACCTGGCACAGAGTTCTGCCTGCACAATGCTGGCCAGGGCTCCCTCGCTGCCCTGGGGAGCCATCTGCTTCCCTTGCACATGTGGAGTTGAACTTTTCTTCTCCCCTTTTCATTCTGCTTAGTAAGCAGACCCTGACCAGCAACACCTGCATCCTATTCACTGCAGCCCGAGCCAAAGGGTAAAGGGGCTGGCCTTCTGGGGAGGATGGGCTGGGAGCAGCATGGAAGTGGCCAGCCTCCCATTCCTCTTCTTTTCCTAACAAGAGAAACAACTGGGAGGTTTCACAAGGACTCTTGACAAAACTCAGTACATAATGATGCTTATTGTTTATTGATCGGCATGCACATTCTTGCTAATGTCCACAGATGGTCAGCCCATTAGCAGTCCCTGCTTCTTTGCTGCATCCCTTTTAGTCAAAGAAAAGCTTAACTTTTTATTAGGGCCCTAATAAGGCACACTTTGGAACAAAAGAGAAAGCAGAACCACATTGTTTCCTCCCCAAATGTAGCTAGCTCATCGATCACTTCATCCTACAAGCATTTATATAGCACGTACACAGTATCCATTGCTTAAATAAACAGGCCACTCATTTGAGAACAGAGTCATCAACATAGACACCATGTACCCCTGCAGGCACTCTCTGGGAACAGGCTCAGCGCACACACGCAAGCCTTCGCCAGGGAAGTCTGCACCACGTTGTTACTGTCTCTGCTATTTCAGGAGGCTGTGCTGGGAGCTTCTTCTTTTGTAATGATTAATTATTTTAATCTCACTCTAGGATAAGTTTATTGATTTTAGAGAGAAAAGGAGAGGGAGAGGGAGAAGAAGAGAGAGAGACAGAGAGACTGAGTGGTTGCCTCCCATATGTGCCCAGACCCGGGATCAGTCCAGCAACTCAGGCAGATGCCTGACCGGGAGTGGAACTGCAACATTTTGGTGCACAGGAGGATGCTCCAATCAACTGAGCCACCTGGCCAGGGCTGCCAGGAGCTTCTTAACATAAGCGTTAACATCACCAGTCATATCGTCCCAACCATATTTGTTTTTCTATAAGCAAACATTTAAGCTGCATTTTCCCTCTCTTGCTCAAGATAGGTGTGAGTTTGCCTGCTGACCAGCAGCCTGAATAGCGACTTGCCCTCCAGAGGCTCAGCAGTTATGCCAGGGGTTTGCTCATTTGCTCATGCGTTTCACCCTCAAGTCACTAAACAATGCTAAAGCTTCTCTACTGAGCACATGATGGGCCAGTGGATAAACAAGATGTGGTCTATCTGTACAATGGAATATTGTTTGGCTTTGAAGAGGAAGGACATTCTGACACGTGCTACAACATGGATGAACCTCGATGATATGCTAAGTGAAATAAGCCAGTCACAAAAAGTCACATACAGTGTGATTCCTGTTAAGAGGTTCCGCAAGTCATCAGATTCATAGAGGCAGAAAGTGGAATGCTGGCTGCCGGAAGCCAGAGGGTGGGGAAATGAAGCGGTAGTGTTTAAGGACTACAGATTTCATCTGGGGAGGATAAATAGATCCCTGAGATGGACAGTGGTGATTGTTGCATCACAGTGTGAATGTACTTGGTGCCACATAGGGTACACTTAAAAACAGTTAAAATGGTTAATTTTACATTATGTATATTTTCCCACAATAAAAAAGTAAAAACACTGTCATGAAAGAAACTGATATTACAAGGAGACTTTCTTATTTTATGGGTTTGAGAAAGTCTCTTCTAAAACTTTTTAAGAAAATACTCATTGTCTGTAGGTTTTTAATAGTAGAGATAGTTTTCTATGAACTGCCTATGTAATCTTTACCCCAATGTCCTAGAAAAGGAAGTGTCTTCTATGTGCCATTGTATATATAATTTGTCTCTGAGGCAACAGAGTAACGTTCCTAAGACCTCTCGAATGTTCCTTTGTGGGTTCACTCCCTTCCTAGGAACTCTGCAGAGGAAGCTTCCCACCTTTCTGGCCTGGCGCCCCCACCCACTGGGCCTGCAAATCTAAAGGTGGGACTTCTCCCCACTCCAGACACTGCAGACTCGGAGTGGCCACATCAGCCCTGCTGAGGGTGAGCGATGGGTTATCACGATGTGGGTGTTTGAAAGAGGGTCTTGCGTGGAAGGCACTTCTTGGGCGGTTCTCTGATGAAGACCATCCCTGAGCTAGAACACCCGATCATTGCCAAAAGTTGTTGATCTCCTTAGAGATCACTTATGTTTTGCATTGGTGATAGTTAATGGTTAGTCACTAACCATTTTTTAACGTTTCTCCCTATCTTCAAGTCCTTTGATTAGCTTATTTGATCCTGGTAAGTTGAGGGGGTGAACTGTAAGGTACCACTTTTACCATTTTCGGGGGTGAGAAAAATAAGACCAGAGAGATAAGGAGATTTGCCTAAGGCCCTGGGCCTCAGATTTGAGGTTTCAGAATCACTTGGAGGGCTTGTTAAAATGCAGTTTGCCAGACTCCACTCCAGGGCTCCTGATTCCATAGCTCTGTGGTGGAGCCCAAGAACAGGCATTGCTCACAAGCTCCCAGGTGATGATGGTGCTTATGCTGCCAGTCCCTCAGAGACCCTCTGGCTTAAGGCCACAGAGTTGTTAAGTGGCAGAACCAAGCCCAGTGTTCCTTCCACCCCAAGTCCTGTCTGCTAATTGATGAAAGTGTGTGCAGAAGGGGTGGTGCCAGTTCAAAAACTGAGTCCACAAACCATTTCTCAAAACCATGCCATCATTTTGTAATTGGACAACAAGTAGCCCCTTGAAGGCAGGAATCACACTGTTCACCCCTTTTGCTCACAGCTTCCGGCACAGGAAGCCACAGGTGGCTGTTCGTTCATCATAAATGTAGAATTTCCCAAGATAAGAATTCATCCAGCCCATCTACTGATTGCTACGGTGGACTGTTGACCCCTAGGAAAACTGGTGAGCCAAATGTTCCTTCCCTGCACCCTCACCTGCTTGGATGTTCTTCATGCTCACGTCACTCAGCGTGGACTTGATGAATTGAACGCCTCCCTCTCTCCTGCCTGCAACCCAGAACGCTCCTTTCCTGGAAACAAAGTCTATATAGCAAAATGCCGCAAGACCCATAAATCTCCGTCTAATGAATTGGGCCGCAAGGCTGAGTTAAATATGAAGCTGAACAGTGTCTGCAGCTGTTAGCGATGCCAACAACAATATGGAGGCAGCGCATTATCACTAGGGTGTCTGGGGCTGCTGAGGGCGGCTCGGCCCTGAACCACCACATCTGTACCACGTTAATATTGGCCAGACGACTTCATCAGGATGGACAGTGTCCTGCAAGGGCTCTCTCTCTCTCTCTCTCTCTCTCACACATGTGCATGTGTGCATGCTCTCACACACACGTTTATTAAATCTTCTACATGTATACCCTCAATGTGACACAAATCATTTTGACATTTGTTGTTCCAATTGCCTAAAAGAGTGAGTATTAATTTTGTGGCAAATACTCCATATGCCTGTGTGTGTGTGTGCGTGTGTGTGTGTGTTAGAGGTGAGGAAGTGATGCA